CCCTGGGGAAGCTAGAAGGAGGCTCTGGGCCGGAAATGGGAAAAGCCCCACTTTTGCCAAGTGACCCATTCTGCAGCTCAGTGAATAGGACCTTCTTGACTCTTGGCTAGAACTTTCAACAGGAAGGTAACACGGAAACTCTGCCAAGAGCTGCAGGAGGGAGGAGGAAGTGGCAGATGAGAAATGATGAGCCTACTTTCCCAAGTGAACCATCTCCTGGGGGTCACATGGTCAGGCAAGAGGCAGATGGGGAGAGAGTTCCAATAATGCCTGATCTGGAAGCCCAGCCTCTCAGCCTTAGATGACCTTCTTCTCTCCGACAACTTTAGCCCCTCTCGTTTGCACTCAACTAAGGAACCTGAAGAAGTTCCCTGTTTTTCTCTTTCCTAGTTCAGATCACCATACTCTCTTGCCCAGGCTCTTCTAATTCATGTTCCTTCCTCATTTGCTCCCTCCCCTCTCATATGACATCCTAGGTCTCAGGGTGCATCTCTGACCATATATATGTCTGACCATGTTCCTCTCCAGTGCGCAGAGGAAAACTCAAGGTCTCCACTTCAGCTTGTCACCCACTATTTCCCTGAATATAGTCTATGGTCCAGTCTATGGTCTTCAAACAGCCACTCCTTATCATCTATGACCTTGGCCAAGGCACCCAACCTTCTCCATCTGTGTTTTAGTGTTTAGAAATGAGAATAAAGCTGGGTACAATGGCTCGCACCTGAAATTTCAGTCAGTCTAGCTAAGTTTAGGTAGTGAGATGCTGTTTCAAAGCTCAGTGCATGCATGAGTGCACGCACACGCGCGCGCGCGCACACACACACACACACACACACACACACACACACACAGAGAGAGAAGAAAGAGAGAGACAGAGACAGAGAGAGAGACAGAGAGAGAGAGAGAGAAGGCAATAGTAAAAATACCACTTATTGGGTTGCTTTGACAGAGAGAGAGAGACAGAGAGAGAGAGAGAAGGCAATAGTAAAAATACCACTTATTGGGTTGCTTTAACAGTTGGACAGTGTTATGGATTTGTTATATTAATTTTTTCAGTACTGAAGATTGAACACAGGATGTCACACATGCTATGCAAGTGCTTTATACTGAGTCACAACACCAGTTCTGGCATTTTTAAAATCAATATCAATATGTTAAACTTTTTTATTAAACTATAACTATACCTTCCCTGAAGGCAACATCTATTTCTATTTGTTTCCACAGTGCTGGCCTGTTTCTATTTGTATCCACAGTGCTGGTGTCTGGTTGGTGCCTTAAACCAGTATGAACTCAGTAAATCTGTCTGACCCTTATGTCAAAAATTGGGTCTGGTGGCATATACCTTAGTCCTGTCCTTGGAATGCTAAGAGCAGGAGACTCTCAAGTTCAAGACCAGATTTTACTTATACTGTCATTTAATCTTCCCAGTAGCTAATGAAGAGAAGAATGGATTTAACAATCCATTCTAAAGATGGGAAAAGTAACCTATATGCCAGAGTCAAACAGGCCCAAGGTTTGGGTTCAAGTTGACCTGCCCCCGAATTATGTGTCCCAGCTGACCCCAGACTAATTGACCCAGAAGCTCTCTTTCTTCCCCTGGGGAGGAAAAGGGGGTGGGCTTTACACATGGAATGAGATGTTTCTACAGAAGCTTCTTTTTGTTCTAAAGAAATTTGCTGTTTTTCTCAAGACTTGAAAGCTCCAATCATAACTTTCCCACGCCCTTCTTTCTCCTTATTATGTCTTTAGGCCCTATTCCTTAGTCATATGCTAGGGCATCCAGAACTTGTAGCCACTAGTGACTAAAAAATTGCCTTCTGGGAATACAAGTTCCCTAAAAGAACTTTCCCCAGCCTGTGAAAGAGAAGTCCCTTGTTTACTTCCCCAGGGCTCAACTACGACTGGCATTTCACAGTGTCCTCCTATGGCATCCCCCTCCTCCAGGAAGCCTCCCCAGCCTGGCTGAACCTCAGAAGCTCTGGTCACTCAAATTTTATGCATTTGGTTTGTTCAGAATCAACCTAACTCACAAGAACTAGTCTGGGAGCACCCTATGTCTGATCCCCCTGAGTGTCTGTCTATACATTTGTTGGAACCCCACAGGGGGCTGTGTAAGGAACAGCTGGTCCCAAGGCCTGTGTTCGGCAGCTGGAGGGAAAGGGAGGCGCTGGACGTAGTAGCACCCCCGCCCCATTAAGAAGTGTGCCAGCTGCTGCTACTTTTTCAGCCTGGTTTCATTCCTGAAACTCGACTCTCCTCCCCTCCCAGGCAGGGAGAAAGGGCCAATACTCTAGCTATCAACTTAATTGTGCCCGGGTCTCTGAACTCTCAGCCTCCTGCATTTTTACAATGCAAGTTTTTAGCTTCAAGAAACTTGAAGCTTTGGCTATGCTGTATTTCAGGAACAACTTTTCTTGGTTGAATTTCGGTACCAAGGAAGGGACCGGATAAAAGTGGGGAACACAGAGCACCCTGAACAAAGGCAATTTCACAACCTGTTAAGGTTGCCTTCTGCAACAGGCTTATCCCACCGTATCCACAGGATGTTCTTGAAGGGAAGTTCGTGAAATAAAGAAACGTAGATCTTAATCAAAATTACATGAGGCATTCCTGGGCAAGAACCTGGAAATATATGGTGCTTTTGGATGGCACAGGAGATCCTGTTTGGAGTGAACCAACTGTAGGGCAAAAGTCCTCCATTCGCAACATAAACTGCCCGTGTGGAACACTTACTTCACCACAGCCCTAGGTGGTGAAGTAAGTTCCCTATCCCAGCCATAGCCATGGAATCCAGTCCCTACGATCCCTGGGAGAAGGCAGCTCAGGGCCGACCCAGGTTTATGGCACTTTGCTTTCCCTTTTGTTCCAATTGCTCAGTACCCAGGCACAGAGATTCCACCTTACTATTTAAACACAGAGGCGAGGTGTCTGGGAGGGAATGTGGCTAAATAGCTCTGCCTATCACTGGCTAGGACTCTTCTTCAGTAAGCTGGTGCTGGGGAGGGAATAGAGTACCATGGCGGTGAAGAACTCCCCCATCTGAGTGTCACTCTGGGCCCTGGGCCAGACAGTTGGCTTGCTCTCCAAGACAGTCAAAGGCTGGAGATGCTCAGACAAAAGGCCAAATGAAAGCTGATGGGGAGCAGGGTGACTTTAGCCTTTCTCTTTCCTTCTCCCAGACACAGGGGCTCAAGGCCATGGTGGAGGGTTTTCAGATAAAAATCCGGGAGCTCAGCTCAGTACAGATTTCTCCTCCATTCTTTCTCTCTCGTTTTTATTCTCTTGACATCCACAGATTGTCTTCTTCCTCCCCTCACCACCTCCCACCTAGAGTGATGTAAAAAATGCAAATCAGCAAGATTTAGAAAATTCATTCCCATGCCAGGAACACCCACAAACCCTCTATCGATGCTCAGCCTGATGTAGGTGGCTTGGTCCCAGGTTCCAGGCACAAAGAAGATCCTGTTAGATTCTTTTCTCAACACAGGCTTTGATCCTCAGCCATAGTCTGTAATGATCTTGGTCTTTCTTTCTGGTACTGGCCACATGAAGTGGGAACACAAGAATGGGCCAGGGCCACTATCCTGAACCAGCATGGCCTGCATATAAAAACTGATAAGTACAGGTTCAGAAGAGCATCAATGGACACTTTGGCTCTCATGGAAGAAGTGTTTCTGTGGAGGCAGTAACTTTCTCATTGAGTGTCATCACAGATAGGGTTCGGGAAGAAGAACTAAAGGCACCAACAGTAACCTGAGAAGGCAGACCATGGACTGGGACAGACAGGACTAGTGCCAGTACATCTTGGTCAGGGAGCATCAATAAGAACACTTGCTACATCAGCCCCCTTCCTCCACCCTGCTGCCAGCAAAGCCTGCCCCTAACACATTGCCAAGCAGGCAGAGTGGAGCCTCTACAGACAGGAATGAAAAGGCTATATAGCCTGGGATCTTAAGAGGCCTGAGCTGGGCACTCTCTGGATCCAGGTGTGCTGTTGGATGCCTGGTGACCTGGCTCTGAAAAGAAGAAAGAAGAGGGTAGCAAAATGAGACAGGAGAGCCCACTGCCATGGGAGATAAATGAGAGACATTGAGAGGTGGAGTGAGAGGAGGAAGCTAAGAGAGTCTAGATGAAGGGAGGGGCGGAGCTGAGAAAAGAGGCATGTGTATGCCTACCTGTCTGCATGAATCCTGGTGGTAAAGGAACACTAGAGGTGAGGGTGGGGGAGAGAGAGAAAGTGTGCGTGCATGACAGCCTTAGCAGTCATCTCTCCCTCTTCGGTGATTCACTCCCACTCCCCAGGGTAGCATACTCACCCTCAGCACCCCGGGGCCCCGCACACTCCCAACACACTCCCCAAGCCCAGACCTGACATCTGGCTGGGCCTCCACAACTCCCGCTCCCGATCTGCCAGGCAGCACCCCTCCTCCCCCGTCATTACAGCTGCCACCCCCCTCCCTGCTGGCAGACAAGCCCGGGCAGACAGCCGGCCAAGCCCGCCCCCGCAGCCGCGCCAGCTCTGCCAAGCCCAGCAGAGCTGGGGGCCCCGGGCGGTGCCAGCTCCCCACGAGCGAGCAGTCTAGCCTGACCTCTCTGCCCAGGACAGGGATCTGTCCGCGCGCTGCAAGAGTCCAGCACCTGAGTGCCTACCCCGCTGCTTGTCTGTCGCTCCTGCGACTCTGGGCACTTGAGCCTTACTCCCTATGTGTGCCTGTCCTCTCTGGGTGTGCTCCTCTTTTCTTCTTCTTCGGTTGTTCTGTCATGTCACATTTCAGCCTGGCTGGCTGTTCTGACTCCCTGTACTTGTTCATATCTCATCAGAATCTTTGCCAAAGTTTCTTGCCTCTGAGCGACGGCCCTATAACCTCTACCTACCAGCTGGCATCTTCTTTGCTCTCGTCTCCGCGCCTCTCTGGTGCACGGAGCTCGGGGCCGAGACCAGGTACCTAGATCTGGGTGGAGCAGCCCTCCCTGTCCCCCGGCTCCTGCTCCGCTCTTACCAGCTCTTGTTTGAGGCGACGCAGATAGCAGTCCATGTCCCTGCTCTCCTTCCTCATTCGCCCATTTGCCGGGCTCGGGCTCACGAGAAAGTAGAGTTCTTAGTGCGCTCCTAGCCCCTGGCGGCGCAGAGCCGAGCCTCGGCTCCGGCGTGGTGACTACTTAGTGCAGCGTCCCCGCCGCTGCCACCCGCGGCCCGGGGTGGGGGCGGAGGAAAAGTGCAGCAGCCAATGAGAACTCAGGAGGGGTGTCTTCGGCCAATGAGAAGAGTGGCCCGAAGGACGCGGGCTGGGCGACCTGACTTGGTCTGTCGCGTGCCTTGCAGTGGCCAGCAGCTACTACTGGGGGACCCGTGGAGGTTGAGTTCTGGGTTCTGTGGAGCGGGGAACCTCAGACTGCCAACGCTCCCCAGTGAAGGCATGATCTATTACAAAGGAAGAACGCAATGTAAGGGGTGAGGATTCGGTATCAAGCTCAGGCAAAAGGGTCACAGTGTTTAATATTAACTAAACTGTTCAGAGAAAAAAACAGCTCCCCTCGTCTTCTCTGAAGTCCCTCAGAAGTCCTTTCTAAAGAGGATCCTGGAAGCGCAGCGCGGTCCCACTTCATCTCCTGGCCCACTCTTGGCTGGAGGAAGGAAGGGACTTCCGCTACTTGTCAGCTCATGTGGCGGTCTGCTGGGTCCACCACAAGCTGTTAGACCAGGAGGTACTGAGTAAGAGAGACAAAGTCTCAGTGTTCCAGAACTTTTATCCTGGTGAGAGAAGGAAGTATGAAACAAATAAATATAAGCATAGTCGTTTGAGAGAGCGAATGATAATGGAAAGATTAAAAAATGGGGCGATGGAGCCTGCTTTCAATAGAGGAGGTAAAGATTCAAAAAACAGGCCTTCCCCTCCCCAGAATTCCCTAGTGCTGGCCTTCTTGAAATTGAGAGGGGAGGACTTGAAAATGCTCTGATTATAGTCGACAGGCATCTCCCCAAGATGCACCAACTCCTACTGGACCTAAGGGATGGAGTTGGGGGCACAGCAGATGGGACACTTCTGCAGGCTAGTCCAACTCGGGACTCCCTAAGCCGGCCTCCTGGCTGCTTGCCCAACTTGAGTTGCCCTTGGTGAGCAAAAGCCAGGGATGGGGTTGAAGAGCCCGAGAGTAATTAGGGCAATTAGCTATGCGTTATTCCAAGATAATTAATAGGGGAAAGTTTGCTCCTGGCAAGATTTTGGTGGTCTGCATTGGACAGAACCAAAAGGATGCAAGAGAAGGCGCCAAGGGAGAAGGCAGGCACTACAGACACTGCAGGCACTCCAGAAGGTTGAGGGAGTAGATGCAGAGCTAGATGACTGTGACTGCACTCCTGGCCTCCCTTCCCACTCCTCTTCAGAGTGATGTGTCATTCAGGAAATTAGGTGGAACAGTGCTGGAAATCTGTTCAACGGTTTCCAGTGCCAAGGGAATCTAAAATGGGATTCCCATTGCTGTCTTGATGGGTCATGAGTCTGCCCTGTGGGTCAGAAAGCAGCGAGCTAGTGTGTCTCTTCTCCTCACTGCTACCCTCCTGGGGAGTGGAGGGGATTCCCCACCCCAAGTGGCTCCTTTTGCAAGCTTAGACCTCCAGCCTGCAGAACAGCAGCCTCTTGTAAAGGGCTCCATAAACATTTGCAGATCTGTGGTTTTCTCCATTCCTGAAACCTGGGCATGAACCTCATGTGAAATCTAGGTTACTGGCTGTGGCTGAAATTCCAGGAGAAGCAGTCTGATCTCCTGACAAGGACTTAGCACTGTTGGGGCTACACTGTTGACAACACATGCTTTCCTTTTACTGGGTCTCAGTTTCTCCTGCTTATCATTTAAACCTGTGTGAGTCTAACATGCCATACTCCTTACAAACCACTCTTGCTTTTATTTATGTGTGTGCCACATGTGTGTAGGTATCCCTGGATTCCAAAAGAAAGCAGAGATCCCCCGAAGCTGGTGTTTACAGGAGACTGTGATCCACTCCCTCTCTTGTGATTGCTAGAAATAGAACTTTGGTTCTCTTGAAGAGCAGCAAATGCTCTTAACCCCTGAGCCCCACAAAACTCCCTGCTGATGACCACCTGTGAAGTAGTTGAGACATAAGAATGTGTACCCCATTTGTGCAGATGAAGAATATACTGTTAGCAAGGTCTGCACATACTCATCCACTCTGAAGATGGTGGGGGGATGGCAAGAAGATAACTGATAACCATACTCTGTACAGAGATCACAAGAGGCCTTCCAGATGAATCAGAGACACGTGTGTTGCTTTATGGCTCCTGGGGACTTTGGAACACAAGTACAATCAAACTCTGAAGTCCTTCCATGATGCTGGGCCATTGGGAGCCCATGTAGGTGCCCCCTCTCTGCTTCTACTTCTCTGTCTATCCCTTCTCCTTCCTCTGTTTCCTGAGAAAGTAGCTCTTTTGGGGTCATAGCAGGAAGCAATAACTGGGAAATGAACTGCCTGTCTATGTCTTCCCTTGTTAAGGTTCTAAGTGATAGAGAATAAGGCCTGTTGCCATGGTTATATAAACATGGGTAAATATCCCTGGCTTGAGGATGAGGGCTGGGGGACATGATTCAGTTTTGCTGAAGAGGAATCAGATGGTTCAGCCTACACCCTCCCACCTCCTGAAACTCAGCCTAGAGAGAGAATGTGGCTATCTCAATTGAAAGTAAATAGCAAAGGGATCAGAGGTCTTGAGACTGGCTGTAGGCATCCCTCTTAAAGACATCTGGAGCTAAAATGGAACCCTCAGAAGGCATGTGAGCATTTGCTCCCAGCTAGTATAGATACATGGACTGTAGTTTTCCTGAAGGTGGGGGTGCACCTCTTGGAACTGGGTCCAAAAGTGTCAATCACTTGGAATTTGCACCCAGCTTAGTGAGAGACGGTAGACCTCTTTTGTCCCACTGCCAGAGCCTGGAGGTCCTGGCACCTATAGATGAGCTTAAAGGGAGAGGTAGAGCCAGCTGTGTCCCAACAGAGCTCATCCTGCACTAAACAATGGAAACGCTGCCATTCTCCTGGCTTCAGAACCCGTGGCCCCACCTGAAAGGTTCCCACCCGCCAAGTCCTGGCTTAGCTGTGGAAGAGGTGGTGCCCAACTTCTCCTTTCCACTGGTGACAGAAGATCTGGGAGATACATGGCTACACATGTTCCAGAAACTTCAGTATAATAGCATCCTCCCAAAGGGTGGAGCCATGTTCCTGTTGCCCTCATTCCTTACCTCCTGTGGCTGCAGAGACCATTAGCCCCCTCCCCCCTTATATGCTTCTGGAGCATCAACAGGAAGGGCTGACCTTAGAGATAAACATGTGTTGTTGGAATGTGTTCTAATACCACTCCAGAACGGCTACTCTCCAGGGAAAGGACTTGCCTCACAGGCTGCCCGGAGGTGCTGAGCATAGACTGCAGTGTCTGTTTGAACACACTGGGATGCTGTTGAGGGGGCGGCAGAGGGAGGGCTACACAGAGACTTCACTCTTCTTAGAAGAGGACAACTGCTGGCTAGCATGGCATCTTCCTCTGTTCACTGTAGACGAAGGACTGACCTCCTGTTGCCAGGACGGGCAGAGAGAGTGAAGTAGCTTCTATAGTAAGGAAGCCTCTTGGATCTATAATAAAGCATCACTCCGAGTTTGAATAAAAAGGCTTTATAACTTGGTAGAAGACTCAAAGGCACTGGGCATAAAGCGCCACAAGAAAAGATTTGGTTTGTTATTTTATTATGTGAGTGTGTCCATGTGTGGGTATATTCCTGAGGAGGTTAGATTCTTCAGATCGCCCTGGAGCTGGAGTTACAGGAACTGTGAGAAGTCTGATGTATAGAAGAGCAGCTGCCACTCTTAACTGCTGAGCCATCTCTCCTGTCCCAATGCTCTGTAAGTTTTAAGTGTCTTCAAAGAGTGCCATTCTCCTTGTTTGCAATTATTTATTTATGTAATGGAAGGCTAAGTTCATTTAAGTTCATGTTTTGAACATACACTACATTATAACCAGGAAGACTGGAGAGCAGGAGCATGAGGCAGCTGGTCATATTTGCATCACAGTTAGGAAGCAGAGGACAGCAATCCATTCTTCCCAGTTGCATGCAGAGTGGCTGAGGCTCAAAGGAGGAAATAGAGCATGGTACCCTGCTTCTATAACTATTCAGAAGAAAGGAGGGGTGTGCCCTAAGGTAGCACTTTACAAAAATGATGAGAACCACCCAAGCAGGAAGTCCTGATAGGTTCTTTTCCATGGAACTTCCATGATTTCCTGGTGCTGATGGACATCAATGTATTCATGGTTTAGATTCCTCACAGCCACTTGGCTTTAAGATCATGTGATCAGCCATGCAGGTGCTAATTCTTGTGGGAAAGGAACAGGAGGAAGGTGTTGGAGGAAGAAAAGGTAGTATTTTGAATAAATATGTACAAATGGCTTCCAAGCTCTCTCACCTGAACAATTCAGTGAGATTTGTTGTTATTATTATCATCATCATTATTTAAGACAGGCTCTTGTATTGTTGCCCTTGTGGGATTCCTTTCATAGACCAGGCAACAATCCTCTTGCCTATGTCTCTGAAATGCTGAGATTACAGCCATGTCTAGCTCATTAGGGATGTAAAAAAAATTAAGCTAGTGTAAATAACACGTTTAGCCTATGGGCTGATAGTCATGATCTAGAATTACAGGTAGCTATGGGCTTAGTGCTTATAGTGCCTAAGCTATGGTTTCTTCACTCCCTGGGGAACAAATACTTCCATTTTGTAAATATTTATTTGTCACAAGCCCAACTACAAAGAATACCTGGAGAATGTTAGAGAAATGAAGAATGTTGGTTCAGGGAAATACTTAGTGTTTGTGCAAACTAATGTTGGTAGATGTCGATTGTACTAAGAAGGTTAGTGGCTTGCTTCCTGGACTCTCCTGAGTACATTCTACAATGTCTGACTCTCTAGAGGCACAGCACTGGCTTCTCTGTAATCTCACCAGGCCCTGTAACTCAAGGCAAAAGCTATTTTACTACCTACTACTTGGCCCCTGCCAGAAGCTGTAAGCAAGCACCAGGGACTGCCAGCCTGTCAGAGAGAGACTTGTTAGCAAGAGATTAAGGGAGGCTATCTGCTTCTCCTGAGGCTGTGAGGTAAGCAGAAAATGAGGTCACTTCTCAGGTT